ATATTAAATACATTTGTCTATTTGTGTTCTATTTCAACACGTATTTTTCATTGGAGTAAAAATGTATTTGATTTCAGATGTGCATAATAACAATTTACTATTAGGGTCAAAATACAGGTTTAAATCTCAATGCTTAAGCTGTTTAAAGAACAACTTTATTGAATTAATTGAGAAAGATACAATATGCCTTTCTATATTGTATAGAATATATCACAGAAACTAAAATGCAGATGCAACCATAGAAAAAAATATTCTCGCTGGATTAGCAGGGTCAATAAATAAATTAAATAAAAATAAATTAGTTTTTTAGGTGGTGTAAAACTGCCGGGAAGCCGTTCCTCTACAGTACCACTTTTGACTAGAATTCCATCCCGGATTTTCCAGAAATACAAAGTATTAGTGACCCAGAGACTTGTCTGAGAACAAGCTTGAAATATTACAACCACGGGCTAGAATTGCAAGTTTTAAGTTTTTAAAATTACAATAATTTTTTTCAAAATATCATTGTTTAATGACTAAATGCTATAAATAAAAACAGCGCTGCGACTAAAGAATGTAAATACTGAATAATCCTATGCAATGCACATGATCCTATTATAACGATCACTGTGAACAATAAGCTAAGCGTTTGTTATATATACAAACTACAAATATAAAAAACATTACAATAATTTAAGCAATGATATTCTATATGTAAAAAAAAACAAAAAAAAAAACTTTAAACGGCGTCTCGTCAGAGCTGAATCTTTGCGGTCACCACACAGGCTCTTTAAAGGGCACCTATGGTAAAAAATCTACTTTTCAAGCTGTTTGGACTAGGGTTGGGCATCTAAGCTATAATGCCGATCCGATACGCATCTCGATACAAAGAATACGATCCGATATATTAGCGATACATTTGTGACATATTGCGATGCAACACGATACTATTCACACCCATATCACGATACAATGCGATAATTCAGCACTAACTGATTAAATTAAGTTTATGAGATTATGTAAAAGAAGATGCTGTGCCATTGAATGAGTTTGATTATTTATTAACCAAGCAAAACCAAGACTTTTTTTACAAACTGGCTTTTCTCTCAGAGCCAGAGTGTCAGTTTACAGTTGAGAGCAATTTTAGAACCTATAGCACATATTATTTAAGTATTTTCAAGATAAACAGAATGTATAAGTGCAATATATATTAATATATATATATATATATATATATATTTGCACTCTTTCAACATAAAGGTTTAGCATTGCACAACAAGAATTGTGATTTAACTTTTCAACTATGAAAACAGGTTTTACAAAGATATATTTTGCCACTGAATATTCAAAACTTAAGGTGGTGAACTAGCAGTGTTATGCTGCTTTGAAACATCACTGTCACTGTAAACAACAGGCTAATAAAAATATAACAAACCAGCAATCTTCTTGCTGTGAGGTGGTCAAACTACCCACTGTGCCACCGTGACACCCATTATTTTTATCATTATTATTATTAATATTATTATTATTATTATTATAATTAAATAAAAATTAACAGGAGGAGGTGTTTAAAACCGCCTAGGGCGGCAGTATAGAGTTGGCGGCGTCCGCAACACCCAGTTATATCCGCGTATAGGGCGGCAGAATAGAGGTCCGCGACACCCGCGCGTCCTCAGTAGGGTTGTAACGGTATGAATTTTTTTCGGTATGATAATCGTCTAAAACAATACCACGGTTTGACGGTTTCGCGGTATATGGTATGTTACAAATGTTACAAAATAATAGAACAGTGAAGCAAATTTGACTTTTTCCAAATAATATATTTTCAGTTACTATAAACAACACCACTTACAATGAAAAAATAAAAAAATAAGAAAATAATAAATAATGTGTCAAAGTCCAAATAAAGTCCAAATAAACATGGTGCAAACCCTCAGTAAAAAAATAGAAATAAATATTTACTATACTATAAATAGTTACATAACGAAACTAGATTCAATATGGAACATCCTTAGGTTTTATGTGCCAGCATGGATATGGTTGTCTGTGGATATGGATTTGGATATAGTTGTCTGCAATGCAGACAAACAGCTGCACCTTCATTTGCGTCTTTTGAAAACAGCAAGAGCAGCAGTTCGTCTTTGCTGTGTCACTGTTTTGTCATGTTTCTGTGCTGCTGTGCATGCAAAAGTACTTAGTATGAGAATTATTTCATGCAAAACTTTTTTTTTTGCGTTTTATTTAGCTGCACATAAATGTATGCCTATCTCTCATTCCGTGTTGTTCAAAAAGCTCAGTGTTGGTCCACAAACAAAAGCGAAACCTATGCTTATTGGTTGTGATATAGCGAGTTTGAACCAATCTGGGCATGGAGGAGGGACTATGCATCAATGTATCGTGTCTGGTTTGTCCGGAGACACAGTGACGAGCGTTTCTTTGACAAATCAGCGTTGTCAAATTTTGATGACGTAACCGCACTGATTCCGGAGCCTCCGGAGCCGCGAATGTTATGTGATACAGCACTGGAAAGCTAAGATTCTCTTCTTTATGCCAATCTTTGAATTGTATGAATCGGATCAGCGGATCAAAAGTTATTAAACATTTAAGAGCAATACTTATTTTTAGCCGCGGGCGGCTGTCTCGGTCTTTAAGGGTTAAAACCGTTGATATGCAATTGTTCATGGTATGATAATCGTGCACGTTCAAATCGTGGTAGACCGTCATACCGGTATATTGTTACAACCCTAGTCCTCAGTTATATCCGCGCATAGGGCGGCAGAATAGAGGTCCGCGACACGTCACTTCATTTTCATAACCGGTCACTTTCGTTTTCACATTGGGGTTGAGGGCGGCGTGATCGTCCTCTGCCTAGAGCGGCAGTTCAGCTTGCTCCGGCCCTGCAGATGAACAATGCAATAACATCCGTTATTGGAAAAAAAAACTTGCAATGCTATTCTCACCACTTTTGGAGCTGGTAGCTACAGTTGAAGCAGTGCGAAAGCCGGGGATGCAGAAACACTGGAAAATGCTTTAACAACAACACCGTGGCGCCGCTTCAAGTGAGATTTCAGATTACTCGTACTGCCCGCGTATTTTATAGATGCGCGGCACATTTTGCAAATTGCATCTGTCCTGTCAAGTCGTCCATCCTTAAATCCATAATGTTGCTTGCCATACTTTAGATTTAAAACTCAGTGGGGAATAAAATGTTTGTTTTGCTTCTCGCGCTTTCTGAGGGCGCACCACTAGCTTCATCCGCACACCTGATACACTGAGTTGTAGTGTAAGTGTACACATCCGCAAATCCGTTGCTAAGGCTTACTTTATGTAGGTTGATTAAATTATGCACCAAAAACAGGTTGACAACACTTGTTAATAAATAAAAAATACATTCTATTTTAAAAATATAAGCTGTATCTCGGAAAAACCGATGCATCTCGCAACAACCGATGCATCTCGATTTGCTTCCAAAATTTCATTCATCCTCTGCTGCTCAACTGATGCACTCGCATCGTGCACGTGCATGACCGCGTATCGATACATATCGGTTAATCTTCCCATCCCTAGTTTGGACAGATCTGTGTGTTGGTATAGTGTATAGACCGTCATACTGGGGTGATATGAACACACCCAGTCCTTTTTTTTTTCAATTTAACTACAAAAAAAGGGTCGGCCAATTGGAGCTGTTTTCAAATCGATCGCACCATTACGTAGGTGTGCGATCCCCCCGCCCACCGAATTGATTGACAGCTGCGCGCATTAACATGTTCCGGTAGTCACGTGTATATGTCAACAAGTCCAGGCAGACATACGCAGAGCAACCGGGAATAAAAGGTCTGTTCTGTTGGCTAGGATCAGCAATCATCATCAAATGTGATTAAGAGTAAGTTTCACATGTTTAAAGTGTTTTAAAACAGAGTATGTGTGTAATTAATTACAGCGTTTTACTTCAGCTTTACTTCATCAGCACAGCCGGGTGTCAGAACAATTATAAAAGAAGACGCTTCAATCCCGGTTTGTGGAAGTTAAATCAGGTTTATTTTGTACATTAGCATAACAGATATCCACACAGTACTTGAGGTTAGCCTTAACTAAGCTAAGCGCGCTCTGTCTGTCTGCCTGCTTGTGTGCGTGCGTGTGTGTGTGTGTCATCTGCGATGTGCGTGTGTGTGGCGCTTGTAGCGATATTGTGTGTGACTCATCAATGCATCTTCACAATACTGATTAGTAAAGGTTAGTTCTTACTGTAGTATCTCACAAACGCTACGTAAGACCTTCTTCGTTTGCCTGTCTGTTGTCTGACGCAGCTGAGGGAGGAGGCATGTAGAAATAGTGGGCGGGAAAGAATCGTCTTAAAGGCGCAGTACGACAAAACCACCCCCTGCTAGAAATCAGTATAAAACCGCATCTTGTAAAAGGTATAATGAAAAATCTGATGGGTATTTTGATCTGAAACTTTATATACACATTCTAGAGACGCAAAAGACTTATGTTAAATCTGAAAAAAGGGGTAACCTAGGTGCCCTTTAACCAATATGGTAATTTAAGGCAGAAATGCTCAGTTCTTTACTGTTTTGTAATAAAAAAAATTACAATGTCAGAAAGAAATACACTGAAAACGGCAGGGTGTTATTTGTTAGTTTTATTTCAAAGAGTTATACAATTACAAAAATTGAAAACTCTGTGTATCTATCCACTGGAACCTTGCAGATGAGTGATTAATCCGCTGATAAATCAGCTGATTTGATGTTTTTAAATGCTTTCTCCAAAGCTTGAAACGCTGTCAGTGATGTCATCAGCACACAAGCAGCCAATAGTGTTCAGCTTTTTCTGACGACTCCTCCCTCAAAATTTCATTGGCTGTGGTTTGGTCGCTTGAATGAGCTGATGGGGAATGAGTTGTTGTCAGATCATGTAGTGTGTGACCCCCCTCTTGTGGATCATTCACAGAGTGTTGCGTAGTGTGAACACCACAGAGATTAAAAGACACAAAGTCAAGTCATGTAGTGTGAACGGCACAGCGAACTGCTGATGTTTAAAATCCTGTAGTGTGAACTAGGCTTAATGCAATTTCGCTGGTCAGAGTTCATCAAGCTTGAACTCTGCAACGCAGTGAACTGCAAAACTTGACGCACAAACTTGCGTTTACAGTCTGACGCATTTGCGTGCATATGAATGGCAGTCTATTAGGAGAAAGGTCCAGTGTAACTGTGGCTTAGGTGCAAGTGAATGGTTTCTCTCCAGTGTGGATCCTCATGTGTCGGTTAAAGTTTGATGATTGGCTGAAACTCTTCCCACACTGAGTGCATGTGAATGGTTTCTCTCCAGTGTGGGTCCACATGTGGTGATTAAGGGATGATGATTGGCTGAAACTCTTCCCACACTGAGTGCATGTGAAGGGTTTCTCTCCAGTGTGGATCCTCATGTGTTCTTTAAGAGATAATGAGCGACTGAAACTCTTACCACACTGAGTGCATGAGAATAGTTTCTCTCCAGTATGGATCCTCATGTGGTGATTAAGGTAAGATGAGCAACTGAAACTCTTCCCACACTGAGTGCACGTGAATGGTTTCTCTCCAGTGTGGATCCTCATGTGGTGATTAAGGGATGATGATTGGCTGAAACACTTCCCACACTGAGTGCATGTGAATGGTTTCTCTCCAGTGTGGACCCTCATGTGTCGGTTAAAGTTTGATGAATGGCTGAAACTTTTCCCACACCGAGTGCATGTGAAAGGTTTCTCTCCAGTGTGGATCCTCATGTGGCGATTAAGGGATGATGATTGGCAGAAACTCTTCCCACACTGAGTGCATGTGAATGGTTTATCTCCAATGTGGATCCTCGTGTGTTGTTTAAGAAATAATGAGTGTCTGAAACTCTTCCCACACTGAGTGCAGGTGAATGGTTTCTCTCGAGCGTGGATCATCATGTGGTGATTAAGGGATGATGATCGGTTGAAACTCTTCCCACACTGAGTGCATGTGAATGGTTTCTCTCCAGTGTGGATCCTCATGTGAATCTTAAGATTGTCTTTTCTTCCCAAACTCCTTCCACATTGAGTGCAGGTGAAACGATTTTCGTCTCTTTTTTTCAAAATATCATCAATCTGTAAACGAGTTTTTTCCTCAATTTTGACATGATGTTCCTCCTCTTTACTCCCCTCATTCTCTTCAATTAGATCTGAAATGAATAAATAAATAAAAAAACACCAGTTTTCATTAAGTCTTAAAAATCTCATCAAATGCGTAAAGGTGAAAAGACACTGGAAACATTTGCTACACACACTGTAATTTTGATGCACATTAAATGTAAAATAAATCAGATCATATTTTGTTCAGTCCATTAACGTGAGCACATTTAAGTAGATTCAATTCATCTTCATCTAGTGCTTTTACAATGCAAATTGTGCTGAAGCCACTTAACTTAGAAGTTCTAGTAAATTGAAACTGTGTCAGTCCAGTTTTCAAAGTTTCTCATAAAAGTCATTTTGGTCATATTGATGAGACACAGATTTGAAAGCTGTAAATGGCCTATTTTTATTCATATATATTCAGAATTACAACAAAACGTTTTTCTAAAATGTGTAAAGCAGACAGGAGATACTTGTTCATTCTGTGCCTGACCAGTAAACGCATCAGAAATAAAAGTTCTGAGGTAACAGCTGAACAAACAGCTGAATATTTGTCTCGCAAACATGAGATATACCTGTACAGCATCTGCATAAAGACTGAAATGTGCACCTTTCCCCTTGTGTGCTGTTGGGTCATTTTTATCCATTCTGGGTTTCTTTCTGTGTTTTAGCAAACTGACTGATATTTGGGAACATCTTATTTTGACATAATCTGGGAAAATGCTTTGAAATAAAAACAAATCTCTCATCCGTTTCTGAAATAGTTAAATTACAGTGAGTTCATGCATCTAGCTTATTGTTTTATAGCTATATTCTACTGTAACATGCTACGTCAGTTAGCATTAAATTATAAATCGACTTTCTTATAAATATACCCAAGATGGCTGGAAGTACACATAAACCATTTATGGGCGCAGTCGTGTAAATGATCAGTTAAAGCCTTTTAATATTTATTCAGATCTTATTTTCATTCAACAGCAATAGCTGGATGCCTTCATCCATATTAGGGATTTCCTGGAATGTTCTGCTACTTTTGTGAGGTATATATGGAATTTCTGCTCAAGTGTAAATGAAACAGGCATTACATGCATTTAAAGTGCCACAATGCCCACATCAACCTATTTTGAGGAAAACTGAAAAAAAAAAACTTAAGAAATCATTTTTCTACTTTAGAAATAATTTTTTGTACCATTTTTGAAACAATTGTTGTTATATCAAAAATAGTAGCCTATTGAACATCAATATATAGCAAGGTAATGAATTCAGAAATTCCAGTATCTGGACAACATTACACCTTAGTTAAAAATTCTGTCCAAAAGAACATGCTTGCAGCTTCGTATCACATCGAATAACAACTCACACTATAAAATAAATTACATTGTCAGATTTGAAGACAATTACATTTACAAAAAACAAACAGAAACTGCAAATCAGGAGGAGATCGGAGGCTCAAGAGGTATGATATGGCTCATAACAGACTAGTAAATGAGAAGTGGGTTAATTTATCAATGTTTTTTTTCCTTTTTGATGTTACGAGTTATGCTGGATCTAATCTCACTATATTTGCTAAAAGTGATATTTAATTCATCTTGTTCTCTATATCTATCATAGGGCTGGACAATAATATAATATCAATATATCACGATAGATTTTTTTTCAATAACGGTGATATGATTTTTAAACCCATTTTCGATATTTCGATACATTTGTTTATGTTTTACATATGTTTTATTATGTTTTGTTATATTATATATATATATATATATATATATAAAAGATTTTCTACCTTGTATCATTTGTCACTAAATGAATTTCCGTGCTCAGAATGAGCGTGATGTCAATTGCGTGATGAGAGTGCTCAGAAGTTGGTCAAGCCGCTCTGTCACAGAAAGCTATAAAATGAGCGACCTGAATACAGATATAGAGGAACAAGCTTCCACAAGTAAGAATGCAGACAAAGTAGTTGATGTGGACGATGTTCGGCTTTTTAAGTTCCGATCAGCTTTTTGTTTCGGCGCTCTGCAAACGGGAGAGCGATGCCGACTAGCATCGGAAACATCAAATAGATTCATAAAAGTTTAAGTCAATCTGTCGCCTCACCATCCACCTTCCCAACACCAAACACAGATGGCTATGAGGCGCAGTGTAGGGTTTTGCATATCTACACATGAATATACACATATAAACATATACTATGTTCAAAACAAGTATGACACTTGCACTTATTTAAACCCACTGCATGCATACACCCACATACACATGCACAGACATATTAACTCGATCCGAACATAAACTTAATCCTTGGATTAAATTAAACACACACACACACAAACACAAAACTCTCTGCATGCTGGTATAGCACTCAAGGAAACTTACAAAATAAAATTCACAAACATATGTATCAGGAATCTGGTTATTTCAAAGCTGATGAAATAGAAAGAATTTGAATAATAGAAGTATTAAATCTGTTAAATAATGAAAATGTGTTATACAAAATATTAGTTTATATAAATAGACAATATAAAAAATATAAGAACTATTTTATGTTAAATCTTTTAACTTAATTAGGTAATTACATACACGAAAATAGTCAGAAAAAACCCTTAAAGGACGTTTAAGATAAAAAGCAACCACAACTTTAAATATACTCAAACAACTCTTTTCCTTTGCAAATATTAATGTAGCCTATACTCTTTTTGATTTGCTTTTTAATTATAATTATTACTCTTTTTCTATTTTTTTACGATGTGGATTTTGGTATTATTTTGACCAGAAATAATAAACTGCAGAAAATAGTCATGCTACTTGCTCTACAAACAGGTGTGTTCATGACTATACATACAAATAAAAATAATTAAATGAGAAAATATGACTTTGCAACATCAAGCAGCATTAGGCATGGGCCAGTATAAGATTCTGACAGTATGATATCCTAAAATATATTTTCTTCTGAGAAACTTTTAAAATATTTTTGAGCAGTAAACATCTCAGGCTAAATAATTGAAATGAATCACAGATTTCTTTACGATTTAAAACAGCCTCTTTGGTCTTTACTGCAGGAGATACTGTTGTCCTAAAAAACAAAACATAAAAAAACTGACATATACTGTAGGAACGGTGCAGCAGGAAATGTTGGTGATTTTAAAACCTTGACTTTTCCAAACTGCGGTAAACCTTGAATATAGTTATTGCCCCATGCCTCAGCAGTATAACACTGATATTTAGGATCTAAAAATTAACTCTTTAAAAAAAGTCTCAAGCAAAAAGATTCCAATGGCGCCGCCTGTTGGTGCATGAAGAATATGGTCTATATTCTGCGACTAAAATATTTTCTAACAATTAATTATTTTTGTGTCCTTTCAGCATGCTCAATATTGGGGGGATCCACATTTTCTGACATACTGTAAACCAGAGTTTCTGCAGGTTTTACAAAGTTAAATTTAAGACTTTATGATATTTTTAAGACCATTATGAATGAAATTTTAGACTCATAAAGGGCTAAAGGGTAAAGAACTTTTCGAATGGGCCAGATGGAAAAGATTTTTATTTGCCCCATCAAAATAAAATTTATTTTTAAAACTAAAAAATGAACAAATGTTTTTAAAGTTTTAAAAACTATAACAAACTAAATCTATGCACAACAATCTGTCCAGGTTAATATCCACAGCAGTAAATACATGGAGCACGTTTAAACAAATGTTATTGTGAGGAAAATAATTAAACCATTATGATAAATAGAGTTAAAAAGACCCTTTTGAATAAAAAGTTGAAAGTTTTATTAAGTTGATTTGTTGGTAATTGAATTGGTTTTGGCCAGATTGGGTAGAAAAACATGAACAAAGGAAAATAAAGACTTGTTTAAAAAAAGACACAATACAGCACAATATTTCAGTAAATTTAAGACTATTTAAGGCCTAAAATGTGAAGTCTTTTATGAGAATACTGTAGGTCAAATATCATCAGCTTAGTTAAACCTTTTATTAATTTATTGTTTTTATTTATTTTATAAAGCACCAAGGATGCTTCACAAACAGCAAAAGAACAAGAAAAGCAATAACCTTAAGAAGGTTGAGAAAATGGGAGACTAATAACACATAAAAGAATGAAAAAAGACCTGAGAACAAGTGATAAAAGAAACTCATTCTTGTCTTTCAATGAGTGTTATGTGCATTTAGGAGAACTAGGCAGCACACTCAGGGCTGCAAGATGGATTTAGTATTCTTATTATTAAAATATATCTGAATGAGGATCAAATGACTGAGTTGGTCTTTGAGAATGAAAATCAACCTGTTTGTTCCTGCAGATCTTCCTGTTTGACTGTGAATGTTTCTTCAATCTTCACATCTTCACTCTCCTCTTTAATAAACGCCATCTTTATAACAGTGCGAAGATCAGTCGCTTCAGCAGGAGTTTTTCTCTACGTTTCGACACTTTGTCCTGTTTAAAATGAACAAAACAATAAAAATGTCCTGTTTAAAATAAATAAAACAATGAACAGAAACAAAATAACTTTTCTTTAACACTTGCTTCAACAGTTTCTTTTAATTATCAAAAAGAAATCAGGTAAAACATTTCTTTAAAAATAGAGCTAAAATTGGTTTTATATTCGCACATTCGGACTTTCCCCTTAATGATATAATTTTATTAAAGTATTATTTGCAAACTCTAAATAGCGAAATCATAATAGCAGCAAATGACTATCAAAGTACAACATTGTTCAGAGTCAAATAAACAGTGTTAATGTTGTTTTCAAGTCACACTTGCATGCTAATTCCGATCAAATATTCAAAGTAACATGGTAAACAATATATAGACTGCTAAATGAACGAATGTGTGAATATAAAACCAACTTTACCTCTTATCAGAAAAGTTTGAGAAACCCT